CATGTTTTTATATACTGGCAATGTCATGAAAGCAGCTGCACGGCAAATAATGCCTGCAATTGCATGGACACCATCTGACTTCCACTGTGTGTCTGTGCTAATGAGTATATCACAGTGGTGCCAAGTGAAAGGTGCTGAATTATGTATGATTCTTCATTAGTGCAGTAATAGTTCTGTACATCATTATGGGACATTGTTTCTCCTGAGGCGATTAAAAAAAATCCTCTGTTCAAGACCTAGTAGTAACCCCTACATGCTAGTGAGGTCCACTTGTGTAGTTCTATGTGAGCAGCTTCCTGTAGATTCTTTTTTTATTTACAATTGTCCCAAGGGATGTTGGAACAGTAGGCAATGACATTGTAAACAGAATGGAGTAACACAGATTAACAGATACTTATCTGATCTCAGGCCTCATTTCCACTTAAAACCAACCACAATGACATTTGCTGATCTATAGACCAAGATAATGATGCAAAGTAAAAATGTTGCTAGACTTAGATGTTTGTCAGATACTGTCAGTTAATATTGGCACTTTCTAAAGTTTCATTTCAGAACTTCCAGAGAACCTTTAGATTTCTAAATGAGAATCTTTAAAAATGAAGTTTGATTATTAATTGCGATCCATTTCAAGCATAGCTAGATTTAGATACATACACAAATATTTGCTACATTAAAATTGTCATGCTATGTTTCTATGTAATAAATTTTTTTCTTACAGAGTAATCTTTGGACATAGAAATTGATCTGAGTAAGTTGATATTTTGCAATAAAGTGGAGAGGTCTTAAATCTTTTTAATTACCTTGTGAATCTCTCCTCCCTATCTCATGCATTGTTTCCTAATTACGATGTGAGAAAGAGATACCTGTTCCAAGGCTTCTGCTTTATGGATGTTTGCCATGAAGCAAATACAAATGGCTATGGATCATCTCATGAAAAGGCCTGTGGCTTTAGAAGAGCTAAAGCACAGATTCACTACAATGGACATAACACAGTACGGAGCTGGAGGAACACAGCAGGACAGGCAGCGTCAGAGGAGCAGGAAAGTTGATGTTTCGGGTCGGGACCCTTCATCAGAAAATGGAGCTAGGTTCTAATTCTTTAAATTCCATGGATGGATAAACTTGAGTTGTATTCTATTGAGCCTAGGAAGTTAATGGATGCTTTAATCAAGGTATTTAAAATGATACAGCTATTCGATGAAACGTCTTGAAAGAAACAGTTTCTTCTTGAGGGAAAGTCCAGAGCAAAAGGGGAGTTCTTAAGCTACAGAGCAGAGGGGTTTTGGAAAACTTAAACTCTTCACAAAAGACAGTGTATGCTGGGTGAATTGAAGTTTTCTAGAATAAGGTTATTAAAGGGTATGGAAGATGAGGGGTAAATGGAACAGAGGTCAAGATCAACCATAACCTAATTTTGAGTCATAGATTAATACAGAATGGAAACAGGCCCTTGGGCCCAAACTGGACTATGCTGACCATGGTGCCCACTCAGCTAGTTAATTTAATAATGGGAAACCCTCCATGGGCTGAATGGCCTGCTGCTATTCTTATATTTCCATTTTTTTTATGGAAGGATTTGAATGTAACAATAGAAGCCACTGCTGGTTGAAACTTTTTTCTCTGAGGTGAGGACAGAAATTAACTGCATAGTTGTACAATAATAGGATTGTATCATATCCTGAACGGTCCCCTTTTTTATATTTTTCCATTATGGAGGCAGTAGTTCACATCAGCCCTGGCTCAGTTGGTAGCACTTTTGTCTCTGAGTCACAAGGTTCTGTGCTAAAGTTCCTCCCCAGGGCTTGAGCACGGAAATCTACACTGATACCGAAGTGTAGTACTGAGGGAATGCTGACTGACAAAGGTGCCATTTTTCAGATAAGGCTTTAAACCCAGGCCCATCTACCTACCCACGTGGATGTAAAAGATCCTATGGTATTGTTTCAGAGAATAAGGTAGAATCATCCCCAGTGTCCTCACCAAATTTGTCTTTCAATTATTATTATAAAACAACATCTTTTCTGGTTGTTATTGCTTATCATATTGCTGTTTGTGGGAGTTGTGTAAAACTTGGCTGTTGCATTTCCTTCATTAAAACAATGACCACAGTTCAAAAGTACTTTCAAAAGTGCTAGTTATAAACTGTTTTGAAATACTTGGTCGGATGAAAAAAACTATGTAAACATAAGATTTTTCTTTTATTTGGTTGGCACTAGAAATTCACTCTGCGATGTGATACAGCATACGCATGTAAGGCAGACACCCTTAACTGAGCTTCACAGATATGTCACCTTGGTGTCATTTCATTGCCAACAAAGTGATGATTTCACAAATCTCTACAAGATGCCAAACTTTATTGCTGCAGGCACATACATCTAGTAAATCAAGAAGTAAAGCTTCCACATGTAGGACTGATAGAAATGAATGTAGAAAATGATATGCCCTGGGAGATGGAAAAAAAGGATGGGAAGCACGATTCCTAAAAATCGTTGCTTCTATGGGATAAAATTCAGCGAATTGTTGAAAGTTTTGGGGGGGTGGTTAGCCAGGAAATATTGTTTTGCAATAATAAGCTGCAAACGTGGCTTGTATATCACAAAAACTTGTCACAATGATGTGATTTATATATCAGATTTTACTATTAGTGAAGTGTGTGCATTTTGGTGTAATGGACTTGGAGTAGTTGACAGAGAGAAATGGATGCAGAAAAATATTCTCTTACGAGTTACATGGTTTTTGTGTGTGTTTTTTTTAATTTATTCCGTGTGAATTCTACTTCAGCCTGCCCCTGTGTATTTTTTCCCACCAAGGGTGAAAGCCATCAGACAGATTTGCACAACTTTTCTGGGAAGGAGGAGGAAGGGAATCAAGAGGTCCACTTACACAATCCACACAGTGCTGCCAACAGCGAACAAGCAGAAATCATCTGGTGCTAACAAAGGACATGTCACCTTGTCATGCCTGTCTTACAGAGAATGCAATTCCTATGTACATCATGAATAAGCATTGAAAGGGAAACATTTGTGCCCTTTTGTCCACAAATGCATTTGTAATTCCATTTTTTGACTTAACCAATGCACGCGCAGGGAAAATACCTCGATGTGGGCTCATGTTACAAATGTATCAAGTCAGAGATAAAACAAAGTCAATTCTGTTTCTAACAATCGTTTTAGTTTTGTGGGAAAGAGAACCATTCTTGATTTTGCATTAAAAATTACAAATGTTTGATGTGCAAGAAAATGAAGAAGAATTTTTTTTTATACAACTAGTATTGTGGAAATGAAAAAGGATTTCTCAGATGCAAGGCTGTTGCAAATATTGTCTCTGTATTGTTTTATGCTAATCATAGGAATAATCAAGAAAAATGCAAATCACAGAATCTTACAGCACCAAATGAAATACTATGGCCAGTCATACTTGTGTCAGCTGTTTGAAATAACAGATATTAGTGGCTAGTTACATAACCATTTGTAAGGAAAATAAAGTGTGCACCAAAAAACTGTTACATCCTCTTAGTGAGGAACTCAATTACTTGATATGGTACTCGACCTTCGAGATTGGAGAGAATCCAGGTTTGGATTCCTGGTCTGTGCAGATTGCTGATCACAGAATGACATCAGGGTCTCAAAAATGACCTCAGTGTGCCCTGATTTCAGAAGGTAAGAAAATCAGCCAAGCACTCCATTTCTGATCATTTCTATTGTCTATATTTGTTGGCATAAGGATTGAACCAGGTTACAACACTTTCACTGCCAAATAACCCACCAAGACCCAAAATCTGGTTTTGTATGTGATGAGGTAATTTGGTGAGATTGTAGAAGATTAATAGCATCAGTGGAGCTAAATCTGAACACTAGACACCACAACCTGCAGAGGAAGGAAACATTTTGCGTAAACATATGAGTTACTGTGATCAAAGCCACATATTGATATATGTTTTCTGAATTACCCTGGAATCTCATTTATTTCTGTATTGTAACATCTAGAAAAAGATTGATTTCTAAACTAGTTTTGACTTCTGTTTCTGATTAACTGTTTCCTTTTGTTAGCTTTTGTGAGGGGAAAATTCAATCTATTAGGAAATGTAAGAATGACTATTGCATTGCTCAGCTGGTCACTTAATGTTTATAAATATATTGTTAATATTGCTAGATTTAAGTACCTTTAAGCAGTTTCTCAACCGATTGAAAGCAAATGTAATGCAAGGGTGACAAGTTAATTCATGAGGAATATTATCACAATTAGGAGAATGTATATCAATGGTAAACATTTTTATTTAGACAATATAATCAATTTATACATCTCTCTGCAAAGAGCTAATCCCTGGTGTATTTTTAGCCCAACATTATTGTATGTCTACAGCAGCCTCTAGGTTGTGCTGTTGAATCACCTTTCCCATGGTGAATGATGTTTTGTAGATTTCCACTTGTACAAAATTAATTAAAATATATAAAATCATTTCAAGTATTATTCCTTATACAGTCCTAACCATAAAAAAGATATTGTGAAATTATATTTGTAATGCAGTGTGTCCTTTGGTAAGAAATTTGTAACAATTAAGGCACGCTCCTCTGTGTAACCATTAATGTCTCATTTTTATAAGCCAGGAAGGATTAACAATATATTTATTCAATAAACAAAATTCCTGTTTATAAAATATAGCAATATAAATTTGGTTAAATCAAAAAGAACTTCGAAATATAGAAATATTTAGAAGGTTAATCTAACAGTAAACAAAAATAATTGTTTCAGCTTCGAAGTGTTTGAGCATTCATGTATGACGAGAGATGTTTTTGAATTTAATGCCAGGCCAACCCTATCTGACCAAGATCTGTTACCTGGTTTCAGTTCTAATATTGCTTGTCAACATACTTTTGAAAGAAGATACAGTTGGCATTTATATATGTCAAAATCTGACAGTAAAATAGATGTAAAGCTTCTCTTTGATGGGTTGACATACTCATGTAAACCGTGTTACAACTTGTTTTTGTTCTTGTCAGGATTCTAAATGGAAAATGTATGTGGAAGTGGATGGTGACAGTGTCGCGTTGACCTACATCAAGGATGTAACTTTCAAAGCTAATCGACAAGACACAGATATAATTAAAATAACCAAGGTACAGATGTTTGTGCAGATCTTTTTGTTAAATGTATTTCATATTCAGCATTTGAGTAAAAGTTTTTAAGCATTTTTCTGAATTAAAATGGGTGTCATGTTGTCAGCTCAGTGGAGTCTAGTTTACAAGAATTAGAATTTCCTGCAATTGTTTTGGACCCATACTCTCCATAGCTTTATGGTAGAACTGTAAATTATTGTTGGAAATAAAAATGAAGGAATAAATGGCTTGCATTTATTCCTTCTTGGTATGTCAGCTCCCAAGCTTTAGTATTTCAGAACAATGACTTCTCTATTTAATTGTGCCACACAATTAATTGTAAAGATGTAAAATTTTATTTTACGTTACAATGTATCTGATTGTCTCAGTAGTAACAATCTAGTCTCTGAATCTGACAACTGAGAGTGCAAGATCCACTCCAACAGATACTCTTGAGACCCTTGCTGTCCATCTGAAAAAATTCCTTTAGATAATCCAAAGGGCAAGAAAGTTCTCCTGATGTCCTGATCGATGTATATTTCTCAAAAGGCATCACAAAGAACAGATAAAATTCATCTCATTTTATTGTCTTACATCCCTACAAAACAAAAGCAATCTGAGGATAATTCATTCACGATGAAGTGACTCAGGATGTAAATCAAGAGTCTTTCTTACAGTAGTAATGTGGCATAATGTCACTTGTGCATCATTGTGGAAATGTCATACAGTTTCTACATTGATCCAACCTATTTATGTCAGTGACTATCTCCATGACAGCAACGGCTCTAATTTCGTGTGGCTCCTTTGTTTCCAAATCTCTCGTATCACTTTCTTCAACTACCTAACTCCTTGTTTAACACATGACATGGGATTGGATTTTATGGGACACCACAGGGCCTAGCCCCCACCCCTCACCCCATACCCAGTTAAAAGGTTAAGGGGGCTCACATCCATGATCCCTACAGCTGCCTCTCAGCAATTTAACACTGGGAACAGCGTTAATTGTTTTAAGGCATGACTTCTACTCTAATCTTGTGAGGAAAGCCATTGTTTGTGAGCTGCCTGCCAATCCAATTGGCCAGCAGCTCTATATTACCACCATTATCGGTGGAAACTGTAGGTAACCCCACCACACCGAGGAACACACATGAGGTGGGTGTCTCAGCAGCAGTCAGGGATGTGGGGGAAATCTCATAGAATTACAACGTTGACCCAGCTACCTATTCTTGGTATACATACCTTTGTTGAAAGTTAGGCAGAAGGCTCCATACCTCCAAACACATACTATTGTTACGGAGGGGAGGTTAAATGAAAGAAATCACTGTTACTCACTCTATAAACAACAAGTAACAATTTATTTATCTAACTTTACAGTGAACAAATTAACAGAACTATTAACAAACCGAAGAATTGCCCGTTAACTACTAACTATTCCCGAATAAAACAAAATTCTAATAGTATGCTGTTCCAATAGATAGAAGTCCCACTTATATCAACCAAAACAATAAGGAAAAATAAATTAAAACTTGGTCTCTCAAAACTACAGCCAGGATAAGTCTTCCGCAATGTTCTTTGCTTTCTCCACTGTTTTCCATTCAGGAATGCCTTTCTCTGTTGAATTCTTGTGTCAGGAACATTAGCTAAGAGTGCCGTAGTACCTTTATTTAGCTGGAGCTTATTCTGAGATCTTAAAGATTTCTGTGAGAGCCAGTGATTTTCTCTTTCTTTAGAGTTGATGGCTGTTGAGAGCTGTTCTCTTAACAGAGGCCAGTGTGCTCTCATCCCAATTTTCAAATGCCATCTTCTTTTATACCCTTGATGACCTATTAATTTCTTACTATAGGATTGGTCCAAGGTTGTCTAAACCATCAGATTTGAATTTAATTGGCTAAATTCAAAAACCTGTTGTCTTGGTAAAAATGCTGCTTTTCCTGCTTTTGATACAATCTTTCAATCTCAAGATCTCTCTATGCATCTGCTGTTGCCTGTAGACATTTTTTTAATCTTCAAGCCTAAAAAAGCACATCTTTTAAAGAGCACGCACACTCTCCCCCTATCATTTTACAAACAAATTCTAACGTCCTGCCTTCCAATCCACAAGTACTATACCAACTTCGCAGCACTGTATGAATGGATCATCACCACACCTGCTCAAAATCTGTGGGCAACTGTAAATGAGGCGACCAACAAAATCTATTACATCACTACTCACTGCAAAATCCAGACTTATGTTATAGATGGAAACAATTTGATTCTTCAAGACTTCCCAAGGGTCCATCTTCACATAAACCACTATTGTTTTAATCCCACATTCTGTTTTGTTTCCATGTTCTTATGACAGCTGTTTTGTGTTTGAAAAGAATATATGGACTTTTTTTGAACTACTCCTTGTGGCAGAGAATTTCCATATCCAAATCACCCATTGTTTGAAAAAGTCCTCTCAAAACTTCTCTCTAACTCTTTAAAGCACAGTTCGAGGTCAAACACAGTGCCAACAATTCACTTTTTTAAAAATTCATTCATGGAATGTGTACAATGCTAGCTCAGCCAGCATTTATTGCCCATCCCTACTTACAGTTGAGAAGATATTGGTGAGTGTTCTCCTTTAAAGCATTGTATTCTCTATCATGATGTCTATCATATCAATGCAACCTATAACTAGTTGCTAATATTGCAATAAACTACTTCTTGTTCAATACAGTCCTTTCTGCAATCCTCCTCCATATAAAAATGATTTCCACATATATTCCATCCATCAAGTTTTTTTACTATTCACTTAATCTGTCTACATCCCTTTGCAAACTCTTTGAGTCATCCTCGCTACTTGCTTTGCTGCCTATTTCTGTGTCATCTACCTACTTGACATTCACTTTACTCATCTAAATAATTAATCTATGCTGTAGATAATTGTGGCCCTGGCAGTAATCCCTGTGGAACGCCACTAATTATAGGCTGCCATCCTGAAAATACCCTCCTTATCCCAAACCCTCTGTTTTCTATCTGTTAGGAACAAGGTAAGAAAGGAAAATAATAATATGGGAATTGAGGATCAGAAGATGGCAGGAAAGGGCTGAGAGAAGAAAAAAACCTAAGAAAACACCACATTTCAATTCTCTGTCTTCTTTTAGTTAACCAAACCTCTATCGAAGCTCATATAAAAATACAACACCATGTGTTCTTATCTTATTACATAGCCTTCAGTTTCTTATCAAACACCTTTTGAGATGGACAACAGCTGGGAACAACACCAAATAAGAGCCATTCCATATAGCTGGACAATACAAAAGAGATGACTGAGTAAAACTGGTCTAGTTGACTACATTGATCACTGGGTAGATGGGTTGAAGAGGACAATGAGAAATAGTGCATTGCAGTCATTAATCACTGAGGATATCATTCATGACTAACCAGGGTAGCTTCACTGCTGTGAAAACTGAAATTTCACTAAAGAGATTTCAACAGAGGGGTTTGGGAAGCTACAATGATGATTAACTTAGAAAGGAAAATGAGGACCAAGCTGATGTGACAGTTGCAGTTTATAGACAGAGCAAGAGTAGCAAACAGAATGATAATAATGACTATCAAGAAAATACAATCATCAGCTATCCACTTTCCAAAGGAGGCTTGCGGTAACACTGGAGTATTTCTCTTTTCAGCTCGAAAATAGAAAATCACACATGATTACTTCAGGCCACATTGATAACTGTTCATATTAAACACATGGGAATGTTAATTAGCCTCTCTGGTCTAGATGTAACTGTCATAAACCACCCATACATATTCTAATCCACATTGGACCTGAGGAGCGATTGTGTTCCAGATCATTCTGTCCAGACTAGAAACGAAGAAACACAAGACGGGGAAATTTCATATTAATTTCTTTTTAAGTATAATGTCATGATATAAAACTTGTTTTTTTAGAACAGTTCTTGTCAATTTTGATCACCTTTGTGCTGAAAGAGTTCATTCTTTGTATGTTTAATTTTGCTGAAAGTTGAGTAGCAGGCTCCATAACCTTCAAGCACGTGTTATATGAATGGACATCTCCACTGGCAGCCACTTACTGTCCAGTATCTTACTAAAGTGGCCATTGTCCACTGGGGTTCAGGGACATCACAGTCAACAGCATTTTGTCCTCAGTCAGTATACCTGCACATTTACTTAACAGTAGTTTCTAGAAATTAAAAATAAACTTTCCATAGTCCCAGAGGACCATCGGGCAGCTGTCTTATTAGAGAGAGAGGCGCAAATGCTGGTGCTTTAACCTGAAAGTCACCATGTCTTAGGCAAAGGGAGATATTGAGAAGTAGTGACCTTCATAGTGACCTCAGGCAGTACAGGAATGAAACTTGCGCTGTTAGCATCCTTCTGCATCACAAACCAGCTGTCCAGCCAAGTGAGCTAACTGACTTCTAGATAGTAAGCTCTAAATAGTAATCAGAACCGGAGATCCCTGGCTGGATTATATCAAGTGACAATCTGTAGTGATTGTAACCAGGTCAGCCAGTTAGACCTCATAGAATATGAGTTCCCTGATTGGTGCTGTTAATCTGGTCCAATCAAGGATCTCTGGCTGACAGATAAGAGCAGGAGTGTCAGAGGTTCTGTTCACTCTGAGAGCTGGCTCTAAGGGAGCTGTGTCATTGTCAAGGACTCTCAATGTGTAAATAAAGGGTGACTTGGTTCCAGGATACTGGCCTCCATGGCGTTATTTCACATGCAACCTGTTTCTCCTCCATCCAAACTAAAAAGTCACAGAATGGGGATGAGCAGGCAAGAATGGCTGCTCTGCAGTCACTTAACTGCGATTAATAGGGTCGAGGCAGGATTTCCACTTCTCAGGGACAGGAAGATCTGCCTCAGAGAGCTGCAGGTCAATAAGAGGCTGGCAGTTCTCGAAGGACTGGTAACACCAAGTGGGAGCAGTTGTCATTGCTGATACTGCAATCATGTTATGAGGAGGTGAGCTGTGATAGATTGGATGTGTTTGGGAACGGGCGAGAGAGGAGTGGGGGATCAAATGTGTGCAGCATCCAGCTCAGCCTGTATAATGAAAATTGTTGAGCTGGCCACTTAGTAAGATTAAGTACCTGTGGCAGCTGGATAAGACCCTTAAATGGACATTAATTATATTATAATTCACGTTCTTGAAATCTTGGACTTGATTATATTCTATTTTCACAGCCTCCCTACTTAATGGAGAAGTGGATTGTGGGAATTACTGAGAACCAGATTGTTGAATGTATTGTTAATTATGAGGTAAGCCTTGAAAGTAAGCAGTTTGTTTTCTTTTAAAATGCTTATAAGATCCACATATGCTCCATGTGAAGTTTCAGATTGAGACATACTGACTTGAGAATGGTTTGAGAATCCTGAAGAGATTAATTCTGAAGTGACTTGGTGCAGCCCTCAAAAAATTTCATTCTCCCTGTTACCATCTTTTAAAATGACTGTTAGGCTATTCTAGCCCTCCCGCCAATCCTATGTTATTAGTTTTCTGCTGCCAAAGTGGCTGACAAACCAATTTCGCACAGTCACGAGTGTAATTCCAAAACTAACTGCTGGGATGTACATAGGACCGGTTCAAGTTGAGTTCTCCAATTTTCTTTCCCTCCCATAGGTAAGACCTTGTGTTCGTCTTAAGCAGATACAGAAATATGAGCTACAGAGCAGGGTAATGTGAGAGTAAAACTAGTGTAACAGAAACTAAAATGTACAGTTTATTTAATCGTAAAATTGAAGTTACTTCTGCCTGAAAAACATGCAATGTGCTGTTTTGTTTTATTCTGATTCCACGTTAATCCTGTGCTATTATTTGTGCAAGTTCAAGGCTTCAATATTTGGTGTGGTCAAATTTCAACAGTGTTTCATTCCTTTTTTCTATCTGATTCAAATCTAATAGATTTTAAATTACTTTTTATCTTTTCTTCTTCCTCTTGCATTGTGAGCTCAAATGCAGGTCCTTTGTGATTATTCACTGAACTACAGCAAAGTACCATGATGTTTTTTTGCTATGAGCAGGGTGAGGATGCAGTCCAAGTCTGTCTCAATGGAATGGTGATTGAATCCTATTTTTCTACTGTTATTACACACCTCTTGACCAGGTGGGACTTGCGTGCCTCCCAGTCCAGAGGTAGGGACATTTACCACTGCACCACAAGAGGGTCCGTTGTGATTGAAGCCTGTGCTGATGGCATTAATTTGATCCACATGATAGCCATCTAGACAATGGAGTTAACTGGCCTCCACTTTTCATCAAAAATTGCTCTATGTGATCTGCAATATTGATAAAGGATTTCTGCATTGAAACGTATTCCAAACTGACATGGAAACAGAAAATACTCAGTTTTTCATGCAACATCAGCTCTGAGCTTCATCCTTCCATACCAGTGTTTCCAAAACATCCTCCCTCTATCATTCCTGGATTCCCATGCATTATGGTAAACATGCATTATAGGGTGGCACAGTGGTTCAGTGGTTTGCACTGCTGTCTCAGTGCCAGTGACCTGGGTTCGATTCCACTATTGGGCGACTGTCTGTGTGGAGTTTACGCATTCTCCCTGTCTGTGCATGGGTTCCCTCCAGGTGCTCCGGTTTTCTGCCACAGGTGGATTGGCCATGCTAAATTATCCATAGTGTTCAGGGATGTGCAGGCTCGGTGGATTAGCCATGGGAAATGTGGGATTACAGGGATAGGGTAGGGTGTTGGGTCTGGGTGGGATATTCTTTGGAAGGCCGGTGTGGACTCGATGGGCTGAATGTCCTGTTTCCACACTGTAGGGCTTCTATGAATAACACCAGGTCTGTCCTGTTTCCTGTGCTTATGTCCTCATTCCTTCCCAGTCTCCCAGTTATAATTGTACTTACCTTGTACCCAACCAACCTCCACATTTAACGTAAGATCTTCTGTCGTCTGGAATATGATGTTTTCATCAAACATATCTTCCCCTAGCCAGAATGCTCCATATTCAGGAGGGCCATTCCCTTTTGTGACACAGTAGTTCATTGTTCCGTGACACATCACTGTGCAAGCTGCCATTCAACTCCTAAGCAATCTGATGAGAAAATGATCAATTATGAACATAAACATACAAATTGGGAGGAGTAGACGATTTGGTCTTTTCAGCCCGCCCATTATTTAATCAAATAATGGGTGATCTGCTCGATTTTATACACCTAGGCTAACGTATGCTAGATTATTTTTCTTTTTCAGTTTATGTTTCCCTTTTCTTTGGATCAGTTTGAAATATCTGTAGGTTTTTCTTGTTTTTGTCCAGTCCTACAGGTAGATGAATTTGTAAACATCAACAAAAGACTCAAAATCCTGGGTTAACATTGACCACATCATGACTTCAGCAGTCCTCAAATACCTTATTTTAAACACTGTTTGCCTGGATCACTTGTCTTCTGGTTATGCAAATAGAATTTGAGCCTGTTCAATCTAAAACAAATGCATAATTACTTAGCAGAAGAAATTCATGTCCCCTAATACCACAGATGGAGACTGCACAATATGTATGTAAGTTTTTATTGTATGAGCAATTAGGAATAAGTTTGACCCCTAAGTTTGGAGTTGGGGACTAAGTGTGGTGTGTCAAAGTTTGCAGATGACACAAAGGTGAGTGGTAGAGCAAAGTGTGCAGAAGACACTGAAAGTCTACAGAGGGATATAGATAGTCTAAGTGAGTGGGCAAAGGTCTGGCAGATGGAGTACAATGTTGATAAGTGTGAGGTCATCCATTTTGGTAGAAGTAACATCAAAATGGACTATGTTTTAAATGGTAAAAAATTGCAGCATGCTGCTGTGCAGAGGGACTTGGGTGTCCTTGTGCATGAATCGCTAAAAGTAGGATTGCAGGTGCAGCAGGTAATTAAAAAGGCAAATGGAATATTGTCTGTCATTGCTAGAGGGTTGGAGATTAAAAACAGGGAGGCTACAGGGAGCTGCAGCTGTATAGAGTCCTGGTGAGGCCACACCTGGAGTACTGTGTGCAGTTTTGGTCTCCTTACTTGAGGAGGGATATACTAGCACTGGAGGGGGTGCAGAGGAGATTCACTCGGTTGATTCCAGAGTTGAGAGGGTTGAATTATGAGGAGAGACTGAGTAGGCTGGGATTATACTCATTGGAATTCAGAAGAGTGAGGGGAGATCTTATAGAAACATATAAGATTATGAAGGGAATAGATAAGGTGGGGGCAAGTAGGTTGTTTCCACTAGCAGGTGAAACTAGGACTAGGGGGCATAGCCTCAAAATAAAGGGAAGCAGATGTAGGACTGAGGATGGGAGAAACTTCTTCACCCAAAGGGTTGTGAATCTGTGGAATTCCCTGCCCAGTGAAGCAGTTGAAGCTACCTCGCTGAATGTGTTTAAGGCAAGGCTAGATAAATTTTTGAACAGTAAAGGAATTAAGGGATATGGTGTACGGGCAGGTAAGTGGAGCTGAGTCTCAAAAAGATCAGCCATGATCTTATTAAATGGTGGGGCAGGCTTGAGGGGCCGGATGGCCTACTCCTGCTCCTAGTTCTTATGTTAAGTTGAGCTTTGATAGTTTATCACAAGTGAAGCACTTGTGTTGGAAAATGCACATATGCAAATACTAGACAAAGATAGGTTCAGGCTAAAGTGAATTTCCCTCTTTCCTGCATCCTCTCCCTCCCACCTCACTATCATCAGATATCCAGTCCAGATTCCAGATTTTCACCTAATGTATGAAAACCGTCTTCCTGGGCAAGGTATTATAGAGTGACTGGTGCCAGTGGGACTTTACGTCACAGGACTGTGGGAAATGTTTATCATTGGGCTTAAATATATAAGAAAAGATGTTAAAGTAAATCTTAAAATACATTGCCAGAATCTCTAAGATGTCTCTAAAGTTTTCTGTCATAAATTATTCAACAGAATGATGTCAAAACTCCAAAAACAACTAAGCACAACCACACTATCACACTGAATGCTGCCAACACTGAAATGAAGGAAGTAGTGCTAGTCATCCAAGCCATGCCAACAAATGCAGAAAACAAGTTTCAGAGCAAATGCCAGTCAAGTAAGTCATTTTATTAAACCCATTAAATTGTACTTTCCAGAAGTGGAGACTTTTTTTTGACAACACTTAATCAGACCGAAACTAGGCTGGAAAACCTTCCTGCATATGGAGTAAGTTAGGTTCTGGAACTCCTTTAGTTAATGCTAATATTCCTTTTATTTCATTTGTTCACGGTCTGTGAGTGTCATGAGCTTCCCAGCATTTATTGCCCATCCTTAAATGCCCTTGAGAAGTTGATAGCAAGTTGTTGTCTTGAACTACTGCAGTCATGTGGTGTAGGTACATTCACATTGCTGTGAGGAAGTGAGTTCTTATATTTTAACCCAGTGAAGTGAAGGAACGTTAATATAGTTCCAAGTCAGGATGGTGTATGGCTTGGAGGAGAACTAGCAGGTGATAATGTTCCCATATATCTGCTGCCCTTATCCTTCTAGATGGCACAGAATGTGGAATTGGAAGGTGCTGTTGAAGGAGCCTGGGTGAGTTGCTGCAGTGCTTGTTGTAAATAGTATATACTGCTGCCACTGTGCATTAGCAGTGGACGGAGTAAGTGTTAAAAATAGTGAATGAGGTGCCAATCAAGGAGGCTGCTTTGTCCTGCATAATGTTGAACTTCATGGGTGTTCTTGGACCTTCACTCATTCAAGCAAGTGAGGAATATTCCATCACATTACTACTTTGTGCCTTGTAGGAGGTGGGTACACTTCAGGAGTTATTAGCCTGTGAATTTCCAATGTCCAACCAGCTGTAATATCCAAACATTATGTGGCTGGTTCAGTTCTGTTTCTGGTCAATGATAACCACCAGAATGTTGATAGTGGAGAAATCGGTGATTGTAATGCAATTAAATATCAAAGTGAGTGAGGTAGCTGGATTCTCTCTTCTAAGAAATGCCCATTTCTTGGTAGTGAAAATGTAGCTTGCCACTTACCAGCCCAAACCTGAACATTGTTCAGGTTTTGCTGCAAATGAACAAAAGCTGCTTTAATGTCTAAGTAGTTTCAAATGGTGCTGAACATTGTGCAAACATCAATGAACATTTCCTCTTCTGACCTTATGTTGGAGGCAAGATCATACTAGGAATTTCTTTGGGAGGTCTCCTGATTCTTCTCCATAAGTCTCAATACCTGTAATGGTTTCTCTGCAAATCTGCCAACAATATGTAACAACATAAAAAAAATAGATTAGGGGTACTAGAAATTCTGGCCAAACTTTCTGTGATAGCACCTTTCAACCCTATAGTTTCTTCCATCTAGAAGGACAAGGATAGTAGATACATGTTCCTCTCCAAGCCACACATTACCTGTTGATGTCCTTCTCCATGGCTGTAAGGGTTGGGAAATAAATGTTGCCCTTCAAGCAATGCTCACGTCCTAAAAATCAATTTTAAAACTCTTGCAATTTTTCTAAACTGCATCCAATGCAACGAGGTCCTCCTTAAATAAGGAAAAGTTGTGTTGGATGATTAGAAAATCCATAAAAAAATTCCCTGAGCCACTGTCTAGTTTTACGTACAAAAATTGTAGTTTAGCTTAAGCACCAGAAAGCATTGAATTTCATTAGCTATTTGCTGGTCTGTAGATCCAATGTGCTTGAAAGGACTAATAGGAAAAAATTAATCATGTATGTGATTTATATGTGTCATAAAAATCCCTCATTGACTAAATTAGTACTATGAAGAACACAAAAGAAAAGTTTCTTTGCATGTGAAAAGCTGAATTTCTCCAGTGTATTTTTGTTTTTACTTTAAATTTGTTGTTGTATCATTTATAATTTCTTTTAAAATTTTCATTTGCTACTACAATTATGTATCTGATTTAATTAGATATAAGTTCTCAGAACTCCTAAGCACTATGTGACAGAAATGCTGCTTTCCCTCCTTGAAATCTGCATGCAGAATTCTAGATATTACACATTACTAGAAGGCAGTTCCATGGGTTTTTATATGCACTAAATTTGATTCAGTTTTTCTTGTCATGAAAAATTATTCCTGGAGATTAATCTTCAGTGCACATTACAGGTTTATAATCGTGTTAAGTAAGGTGTTATGAAAATTATTTGCCCATGCATTATAGGGTTGACAAATTATGGCAGAAATCAAAACAACTTTATCAAAGTGTAAAATGCCTTTAATGTAATGTCACTTCTGCAGAATTTACATGAATTTCCTTAAAACTAGACTGTTCATCTACTCAGGATAGCACAACTTTTTGTACACATCAGTTTTTTATTCTTATGTCAAGTAATGGGACATTGTTGTTTTAGGAATCTTATTATACTGTGTACAGTTGTTCAAAATCTAGAATATAAATTGATTAAACTCTATAAAAATGAGAAAAGAAATTTACAGAAGCAACCATGGTTTAATCTTTATTTTAAAATGTTTCAATTTATTTTATACAAATGTACTGTTCAAAACAGATTCTCCTCAGCAATGAAACATTAATGAGGTAACGTTAAAATTCTTTCTTCAGTCAATCTATTGATCACTTGCTCCAGGAGCTTTTGATCAAATACAGGTAGATACCAATTACGACTATAAGGATTATAAAAAGTGAATATATAGTCAAATACATGCACTGCTATTTCTTGATCATCTTACTATGACTGTTTAAAGTCAAAGTCACCTTTATGAACTCATGGACTTGATAAGTAAGAAATAAAGAGAAATGATTTCACTTGCAAAGACATTATCTTTAAATTTATCCATTTCAATTAACAACACCTTTTGCACATGTTTTGTATTCCAGATGTTCGTCAACAATGGTTTGATATGTTAAAATTGCGCAAAATATCTACAGGCGACTCATCACAATATTCTGCCATTTTACCTCCTAACCAAAACACTTCCAGTTCCATTACGCAATCTCAATTGTTTACTTTATTTGCAAGTCAAGATACTTATGCAGCAGTTGTAAGACGTATGCAGAGCCCCAGCAGATGCCACATCACTACTCCTCTGACTCAATCCAGACAAAGCTCCAGCCCATTACCTACAATGCCAGTATTATGCAGTCGTATTTCTACTGTACACCTCAGCTCTGAAGGAAGCAGCCTGTCAAGCACAACCTCAAACAGCATCTTGGAGAGAGATCATACTACCGGTAGACAAAGCAGCGGCTATCAGAGCAATGATTCCAATGACTTCTTGTTTAATAAAACAACCACTTCTGAGGGATTTAACCACATTAATAAGAAAGTAGTTAGCCCAGTATTCATGCGTGGTAGTGGAAATAGGCACATGAGTAAGGAATATGGTAGGGAAAGAAGCAAAAGCACACCTATGAGACATAACTCTGGATATCAATCATCAGAAAAGCGGTATACGCAATCCAGCCGTTCTCACCATGCTAAGTCATGGGGCCCTGAAAGAAACCTACAAAAGCAATTTCAACAACATTTAGAGACAGATATTAGTGCAGTCTCAGACATGCAAGGTGCAGGTGGTAAAAGTGCAAAAGATACAGGTAAAGAGAGGCACAGCAAAACTAATGAAGGAGATTGGATTAAAGTTGAACGGCACAAAAAATCTCATAAAAATGACTCTTTTAAAGTATCCAGAGGTAGAGGCCGAGGAGGAGGCCGTAGCCGACTGTTCTGACAGAGAGCCTCAAAAGTTGACTTCTGTTTGTCTCAACTGAAAATGTTATTTGTAATTGAACATCTTTCTGTAATCTGTAATATTTCAAGCAGATGGACATAATTTGCTAATAGAGATTGTTACAGATTTGACTAGGATTTGAAATGTTCAATAGAATTTAAGCCTGTCACTGAGCCTGTTGTGATTATTCAGTCAAAACTCAGTGTTCACCAAATGGAATCAGGGTAAATGTATGGGATAGTACTTTATACTGGCACTGGTTTTAATAAAACTGCAATTCTCTGATAATTTACTTTTTTTTATTATTCATTGATGGGATGAGGGCATCGCTGGCTAGGCAGCATTTATTGCCCATCCCTAATTGCCCAGAGGGCAGTTAAGAGTCAACCACATTGCTGTGGGTCTGGAGTCACATGTAGCCCAGACCAGGTAAGGATGGCAGTTTTCCTACCCTAAAGGACATTAGTGAACCAGATGGGTTTTTTTGACAATCGACAATGGATTCACAGTTATCATTAGATTCTTAATTCCAGACATTTATTGAATTCAAATTCCACCATCTGCCATGGCAGGATTTGAACCTGGGTCTCTAGAATATTATCCGGGTATCTGGATTAATAGTCCAGTGATAATACCACAAGGCCATCACCTAAAAAAACTAACGTGTATATTAAAGAGAGTGAGCGAGGGTACAATATTTGTGTGCTGTATAAGAGATAATGTGCGTGAGTTGAATCTTGTGTAGAGAGGGTGAGGAATATGGGGCATTCCCATAAAAATGAACACACACATTGCACTGACAGTGTATGGATATCCCGACATTGCTTGTTTGTCTTGTCATCCCCACTGAATGTTTGGATGAAAGCAATCTATAGGGAATCAAAAACCCCAATATACACCCTAATATACAATTGAAGGAATACAAGGGTGTAGAGGGTACACTGTAGCTATACAAAGATCCAGTTAGACCAAATGTGTAATAATGTGAACAGATCCAAGCATCACATCTTAGGAACAATCTTTGGGCTTGAGAGAGAATACTGCACAGGTTTGCTAGACTGATAATGGGATCCCAAGGATTAAATTAGGAGAAAAGCTTACATAAACTAGGCATGTTTTTGCACATTACAATGTTAAGGGATGATTTGGTTGATGTTTTCTGAGATTAAGGGGAACGGATAAGGTAGATAATGAAAAACTATTTCCACTGGTTAAGGAGTCCAGGACAAGAGGGGGCTAGTTTAAAAATTATAGCCAGTGTAAGAATTTCAGGAGTAAAATTAAAAATCACTTCTTAATGCAAAGGATCACAGAAGTTTGGAATTCTGTTCTGCAACCAGCAGTTGGTGCTAGTTGATTATAATTAAAGATTGATTTTTGTTAACTAAAGGTATAATGGGACACAAGTATGCAGAGCAAAGTTACAGAAAAACTATTTGGAACAGACTCGAGATGCTCAAAAACCTACTCCTCTTCATGTTTTTTTTTGGTAATATATTTGTGTGTTTGTTCTGATATGATTTTGTAAATCTGTTTGAAAATGCATTTTTGGTGGCTGGATTTACTATAGCACATCTTATGGATACAGAAGACTGTTTATATACTAAATGCAATGCATGCTCATTCCTTGACTCGTTGTCTTATTTGGTAATAAACTTCAGCCAAAATAATGATGTGTTATTTGATGCATTAACTTAATGAATCTAAATCCTTTATTTTCTTAGAAATTTGTGCATTACACAGTAGACATCCAGGAGGTTGAAATGTATAAATTTGCCCTTAGCACCAAACCAGGCCCCTTACCTGTTGCAACCATCACACAGATAAGGTCTCCAAGTTCAATGATGTAACTGAAAATCATCAAGGAGCATTTAGCCTACATTCTCATTGCCAAGACAAGAACCAAATTGTACTGGGAAGTGTGTACTACCAACCTACAAACTACTACTGCTTGATTTTTTCTGCAACTTTTTAAAGCATAAAAAATTGGAGGATATGTGATCTAATCACTCCTCTAAAGAACTTTGTAAGCATTTCTGCTTTTGTTATTTTTTGTAAAACTCTGCATCTTTCTTTTGACTTGCAATTTGTTTTTTCCGTATAAATTTTTGCTCTCCTATTCCTCCTGTTAAGACATTAGTTAGAGTTGAAATCCAAATTGCTTCTTCAGATGGACAAAGTGGTCACTATCCATATACAGGGAAGAACAGAGAAGCTCAAATATTCTGGACAGAATTTGCTCCTTAACCAATGGTACTAAAAGGACTAACTGGTGACTTTGCTTATTTGGCAGCCATAATTTATCTACCTAATGACAATATAAGTACAGCCAAAGTAACTCACTCTCAACAAAGCACTTCAGAAGGCAGTATCTAAATTCACATTTTCTTTCCTTCTTTCCTCCTTAATATATCTTGTAAATAGGTGACCCAGTGATAGATGTTGCATTTTCACCCAACCGCTTGATTCTACCAACATTAGCCAGATGAATCTTGAAAGTTCTGATTGGGTTGCTATTTGTTAAGTGTTCCATCTCTGTGTGAGGGAAAGGAAGAACTGACATTATGTAATTTGCATCTCTTGGATCATGCCACTACTATTCAAATGGATTGGCATTGATGGCAATTGTGTATTAAGGCCTGGCCTATTCCACGCTTTCCTACAAAGAATAGGATATGTCTCAGTTACAGTAATTAGCAGGCATTTCCTGTACTGCTGAGTGTGTGTTTTTGAATAAATTCTCAACACCAGTACTTTTGGCACACCGTGTAGAAATGTATAAGAGGTATAATTTCTATATACTTTGCATTTTTGGAAATATCTTTATACAGTGAGCAATAAGGATCATAGTTTTAAAGAGGGTAATTTAATTAAATAACCAAGTGTGCATACATAAGTGGAGCATCTTATTTCAATTCCACTTGCATATAAAATGAATTCCACAGAGATGATTAACTCTTTAAGATGTATAACTGTTGCGAATTCAACCAATAAATCGGTAGAACTTCTTTTCATAGATCTTTTAACAAATAGAAACTCTGACAATGCAGTATCCCTGCAGCAGCAGTATTTGCCTTGTAGGGATTCCATACAAAAGGTCAGCTTGGGACTCCTACATATTTTTGTACCGTGATAGTAAATGCTACCTACTTAATTTGGTGTCAAAACTGCACAGATATGACTGTGAAAAGAAATGTCTGGCACAGGCAAATAAAAATAGTTAACAAATGATCATGGAAGAGCTATTTCCATGTGTAGGTGTATTTTTATTGAAGCTAGTCAGTAACACTGGTTGCACAGTCATAATGTACCCTCTCACCTGACTCTCTAAACCTGTCAGCCTACGCTATTACTCAATGGGGTTTCAACACATAATCTGCTAACTCAGAAGCTAGTACTACGACTGAGCCAAGCTAACATGGAACAGCTGATTAAATACCATTCATTGTCTTATTTAGAATACAATAGCATGCCAGGGCTCTACTTCTGAGCTAGGAGACCTGTCTTTAAGTCACACTTTCTCCAGAATGTGTAACATGTCTGAACAGATTGATTAGAAAATATCTACAATGGCAAGCTATGGCATATTAGCTTGAAAGAAGTATGAGTTTGTTAGAGCTAATAGTCTTTTTTTATCCCTGATGAAAGTCTCACATTCTACATTCCAATGCATATCAATTGTCTCCATTATTAATGAATTCCCCCGTGCCTAATTTAATTAAAATACAGATAAAACAATAGGGGTTCTTTTATGGCTACAACAGCTGGAAGTTTCACTTTCCAACAATTTTCTCTACAACAAAGACTGTCCTAGTAATCTGGATATCTATGTGTACAGGAGATGCCTTTGGCTGGGGCAGCTCAAGCTCCAGGGAGAACTATGGTGCATTCTTAGAGCTGAGAAACCTGTGGCTAGCCTGTCTCAGGACATGGTCATCCCATGATTTTAGTCCTGATAGTTTGTCAAATACTTTGTCCGTCATTAATGGTGCCTGTTATACAATGTTTCCTCCTATTAGCACCTTACTTATTTGTTTTCTTTAGGATGTCTATAATGTCCTCCACAGTAAAGATTGATGCAAAATATTAATTTAAAATACCTGCCATTTCCCTGTTCCAATTATTAATTTCCTAATTGCATGCTTCAAGGATCCCACACGTACTTTAACTACTCTTTTTTATACATACTTGCAGAAGCTATTTTCATATTTCTTGGGAATATTAAAGCAATTTTCTCCCTCTTTATCAGCCTCTGCTGATTTCTGAAAACCTCCTAATCCCCTTGTCTACCACTAGGTTTTGCTGCTGTGGATGTTCTACTTTTTGATCGGATAATCTCCTTGACTGCCTTTGTTAACCATGGGAGGTTCATCCTTCTAATCAATTCTTTCTTGTTGACTAGAATAAATTTTGCCGAGTGTAATGAAGTATCTGCTTAAATGCCTGCCATGGCTCATCCACTAACTTTCCACTTATTCTATTTTCCCAGCCAGCTTTAGACGATTCTTTCTTCATACCTCTGTAATTGCTCTTATTTAAGTTAACACTGGTTCGAGACCTGAGTTGCTCTCCTTCAAACTGAATTTAAAATTCTACCATGTTGTGATCGCTACCCTCTAGAGGATCATTAACTAGAGGATTCCTTATTAATCCTACCCCATTTCTATTACTAGATCTAAAATAGCAATGCATTGTTCTGCGAAATAATACTTGATGCACTCTGAAAATTCGGCTTTTATGTTAACGTACCTATGTGATTTGTCCAGTTGATAAACAGATTAAAATCATCCAAGACAATTAAACTGCCTTCTCATATGCCTCCATTATTTCCCAATATATACTTTGTCCTAGAGTGAGGCAACTCTTTGGGAGCCTATGGACAATTCCCACCCACTCTTTACCTTGCTTTTCCTTATTTCTACCCAAACTAACTCCATATCTGGACCTACTACGACCATTACTCATCACCTATGCACTTTCTTTACTAACAAAGTTGCTCCATCTCCTTTTCATTTTTGCCTTATTTTTCTGGATGTTGCATATCTTTGAATATTGAATTCCCAGTATTTGACCCCAGCTATGTGTAATAGCTATCAAGTCAATAGTCATTTATTTCTATTTTATCATCAACTCATCAATCTTCTTACAAATGCTACATGTGTTCAGATAAAGAGTCTTAAGCTTTGACTTTTAATCTTCATAACTCACTCTGTTCTAATTTCTGCTCCACTCTTCTGCATATATTTACACTACTTCCTGTCACATTTTGATTATTGTTCACTTCTTCACTATCCTTTGCCCTTATTTCTTTTTGATTGTTTAAACTTTGCTTCAATTGAACCCTCCCCTCACAAATTAGCGTAAAGCCCTACCTACAATCCTAGTTATAGGACTCACCAGGACACTGGTTCCAGCATGATTCAAATGGAGCCTGTGTCAACGGAACAGCTCTCTCTCCTAAAAACTAGTTTGGTTCCTCATGAATTGGAACCCATTTCTCCCAAAGCAATCCTTGATCCAAATACTTACCTCTTTAATGTAATTTACCCCATGTCAATATTGATGTGACTTAGATAGCAATTGGAGATTATTATCTTTGCGGTTCTGTTTTCTTAATTTACAACTGAACTGTTTATAATCACTCAGCAGAGCCTCTTTCCTAATCCTACCTATGTCATTGGTATCTACATGGACCATGACAACTGGAATCTTCTCTTCCCATTCTCAAGTTCCGCTCCAGTCCAGAAAAGAGATCCTTAACCTTGGCACCAGGTAGGAAACACAAGTCTTCAAGACTCTCTGTCTTTGCTGCAGAGAATGGCATCTATTCCATTAACTATGTCAGACTCTATTACCACTGTATTTGGATGTTAAATATTTTAAAAGTGAATTTGTTAACTGGATTGTTTAGCTATTGTAACATCTCCTGATTTAAGGCACTTAGTTAATCAAAGGAAATACAGAAGAAATACCAACTAATCACATACCTTTTTCCATGTAATGTTACAATTTGGCTCTGACAGTGTGAAATGGTTAAAGAAGCTCTCTGCTGCCGGTTTTTGCTTTCCTCTATTGCTGCCCTTCTCACACAAGTCCGCTCTTCTCTTTGAGGCTGCTGTCCCTGCTCTCTCTTGTTATTTGAGAAGCTGCTAAGTCTGAACTGTCTCCCATCCTTTTTGAAGCTGTTTTCCCTGCCCATTCATGCTACTTCAGATACACAGGACCCTCCTCTCCCTGGCTATTTCATTGTATAAGATTATGGGAGACATGAATAGCTTGGATAGGAAGGATGTTTTTCCATTTGTAGAGGCGTCAATAACCAGTGGGCAAAGACTTAAGGCAAGAGGTAAAAGGATAAGAGAGAAGTTGGGAAAAATTTTGTTTGCCCAAAGGATGGTGGAAAGCTGGAACTATAGGCCTGAAAGGGCAGTTGAATCAGAACCCTTTATAACAGTTAGACAGTATTTAGATATTCACTTGCACTGCCATAGCCTCCAGGACTGTGGGTCAATAGCTGGATAATGAAATTAGTGTAGTCAAATTTTTGTTGACTGACATGGACATGATGGTCAAATGCCGTCTCCTTCGCTGTAAACGTCTTTAAATCTAAGTACAGCTAGATCTATCCCCTGAGCTGAAGTACCTATAGTGCAGAGATAGT